TCAGTGAACAACGGCTCTGTGTAGTTAATGCTGCCCAATGTGAAAGCACGCAGGTGATGGAGATTTACCGCTGATTACAGAACCGGCTTTACTGATAAGATGCGCGTTAAATATCGCATGCGATTAATCGTGCAGCCCTATTTGACTGTATATTTAATTTTTACATTGAAGACTGTGCAGTGCTATTTTACATTTGATTATTCAGTTTCTGTACCTGGACACCTACAAACATAAAAAAACCTAAACATTGTGTAAATAGCACAAATAAATAAATAAATAAAACGAACATGCAAATTAAACCAGTTCAAACAGGGCCCAGCTGGTACAACCTGCACTGGGGCCCCACAAACCCCAGCTACGGCCCACCCTTCATGCTGCAGTATACAACAAAATTAAGTGACTGACATCAACGCTGGAGTTTTGTCAGTTTTGAATTTGACGAACAGCCATTTTCTTAAAAAAAACAAACAAAAAAAACTCTTCACAGAGTGGCGAATACACTGCCAGAGCCCAAAATGTGATATATACAGATGCCTGTATACATCCGAATGATTTAACTGCTGTAAGAAAGTTTTGATTTACATTCTCCTCATTTACCTCTCAAAATACCTGCTCGGACTGACGGACCCGTATTAATTTGCCCCGCCAGAGCAAGGGTGTGTTGATCACGTCCCGTTCGCCCCATTGTGTTCGGCGTCCATCTGCGAACGTCACTTCCTCCCGCTTCCTGCTGTCCACTTCCACGGTGCTGCAGATCTGTTTCGCGATGTGTGTGTGGAAGTGGTGATAGTCAGGCAGTCAGCCCGTGGACTCTCATACAGGATACTCGAGGCAGCCCCAAAGCTTTCACGCTTTTTAACTGCTCTTCCCGTTTCCCTCAGATCTATCAAGATCCCAAGAACGACAGCGAGTGCTTGAGCAACATCACGGAGTTTCTCAAGGGCTGCGCAGTGTTTCGCGTCGAGGTGAGTTGGTGTGTTTATGGTCTTTTTAACTCTACTGTATGTTGCTGCATTGGCGCCACAATGAAAACAACCAACCAACAAAGGAAAAGTGCCGTAGACAGTGGAGACGCAACTCTGGACCGATGTGAGGGAGATCATGCCCTGCACATCGGCTCATTCATTGCCATAGTCTGATGGGACAAAAGCTTGGTAATGTTCTGAAAATGCCGCTAGGGTTTATTTGGTTGTTGTATTTTTATGCCAATAAAATATCTGTATTTTGGTGGCGAGTTTGTGCACTACTGCATAGGGCTGTGTCATCTATGAATGGCGTTGCTTTGTCCATTCATGTACAGTTTGCCTTTTTCATGTGAGTCTGCATGAATTTGAAGCTCTGGTATAAATTCAAGCTCTATTTTCTGCTTGGTCAAGTTAAACAAAAGTGACTTTCAGAATGTGTTTCAACTTTTTAACTCCAAGTACCCCTAATATGATGATCATTTTGTGAGGGACATCCTTCCAAAAATATAGGCAACTATATATTTAAATGTATACAGACATTTTAGGTTTATAAAAATAGTAAGTGTAATGTTATAGACATGTTCACAGAATTAAATGATGGGGTTTTATTTGTCAGTGCTATTGTAGGCTAAAATTAGATATATTATTAAGTTATACTTTATTATTGATTGCATTATAATGTAAATGAAATTTCTGAAATTTAAAATTAAATTTTGTATTATGTTAACTTTCCTTTTTCTACAGTTTTTTTTCTGTCCACTATTAGAGCCTGATCAGTTAAAATTGTCACAAATGTGGACAGAAAGACCATACAAAGGGCTAGTGGGATTTTGATCTATGCGCATTTATTAAGGAACAGATGGTTCAGGGTAATGCTAACGTATTGTCAAGTGTATCTAGATGTGGTGAGGTTGAGGCCCACGTCACATATGGAAATCTTGGTAGCTGCATAATGTGTGAAGCGTTATCTAAACAAGTACTGACAATATCTTCGGAAAAGATGCCCTTTTCTCAAGTTCAGTGGCTATCGTTACTCCATCTTTGAGATTAATGCTGTGTCGGCTGTGCTGTTGTGCATTTACTGCTTCTACACTGATCTAGGGGTGTTTGTTCTGCTGGTGATTCTGTTAATGAATTCATCTCAGGGTTTGTTCTCTTTTGTATACTTTCTCACAGTTCACTTTGCTTTATACCTCCTCTACATTGTCTGGGTTTAGGTTCCATCTTTATTTTATTGTGCTTTACTTTATATGATGATCATTTTGTGAGGGACATCCTTCCAAAAATATAGGCAACTATATATTTAAATGTATACAGACATTTTAGGTTTATAAAAATCGTAAGCGTAATGTTATAGATTCTGATAATGGAGCATTCTTGATTTCGTGTTTGCTGTTGCACCTCACAGTAATTTGTTCCTCTCTGAGTCGGACCTGTTAAAAGGTATTCAGTTGACCTAGCAGTGCCCAAGGCTCCATTGAGTGTGTGCTACATTTTGGAATAGAAATGAGCCGTTAGTAAACACTTATTTTTAGTCTTATGTGTGAAACATTACAGCTGTGAGCGCTTGTCACAGATATTGCAAGGATGTGTTATTGTTGTCATGCCTCCAGCCCATAAATTGTATGAACATTCCCAGATGACGAAATTCACATATAGGTTATGTGATACAACTGGGCCTGATTGAAAGGCTTGTTTAATTGTCTGAGAGTTTGTTTTGCACTTTTGTTGTATTAAAGTAAGACTCTTTGACCTCTGGGGATGAAAGCTTATCCTTTTGCTCTAAATTTGTGGTTTACAGGATTTTCATTAATCTGTTCAGTGTCCAGTTCACTCTGCCTTATGAGCAGCCTCTTCTGAAGCTCCTTTATGAAGCACTGAGCTCATTCAGCTTTGATGATGTGATCTCAAGCTTAAAGGGTTACTCCACCCCAAAATATTTTGCCCCCAATTTTGTCATTAATCACTTACCCCCATGTCGTTCCAAACCCGTAAAAGCTTTGTTCGTCTTCGGAACACAATTTAAGATATTTTGGATGAAAACCTGGCATTGACTGCAGGGCTCTACGCTTATTTTTCTTTTTAGGAGCGCTTGTGCTCCTAAAGTCAAAAATTTAGGAGCACCAAAATTTGATAAAAAAATAGCCTTCCCATTACGAGGTGATATTTGACTCCTTAAAGTGATTTACAGTAGAATTTTGTTTTTACCTTTGTAATGGCATTTTTCTATCTTTATTAAAAGTATGTCATCTTTTATGTCAAATTTTTAAAAAATTATATTTTATAAGCTTTTTTAAAAATTCTAGATAAAACCATAGAATAAGAACAAGTAGAATAAGAAGAATAAGTTACTAATCAAATGAAATCAGTATTAAAATTAATTTGTACAGAGGTAGCACAGAAGAACACAAAAGTGGCTTGTAGGTGTATTTTCAGACATTTAATTACACCCTGTCTACACTTTGCTTATGAAAGGATCCATGCGATATGTCTGTGATACATTACTCAACGCTGCAAAAACGTAGAAACCTTTGAAGCTCCCCTCAGCGATCACAATCACAAGTATGATGAAGATCTGGTCAGTCGCACTGGTGCTCCTAAATATGTTTTCATAGTGGCACGCAGTAGTTTTTCAGTCGCAAATGTGACTGAAATGGTCGCACTCTAGAGCCCTGGACTGCCAAGTAAATAACACCGTCAAGGCCCAGAAAAGTATGAAAGACATCGTCAAAATCGTACATCTGCCATCAGTGGTTCAATCTGAATTTTATGAAGCGACGAGAATACTTTTTGTACGCAAAGAAAACAAAAATAAGGACTTAATTCAACAATGTGTCTCCTCTGCGTCACCGTAGCGCCATTTTGGAGAGTATCCACTGAATGCAAACTGCATATGCTGTTCTACTTGTTTGTGTCAGCCGCACCACGTTTATGTATGCTTTGATCTGAACGAAAACAGCGTATCCAAAACAAATGCTTTCTATGTTAATATATTTTAAAATATAATTCATTCATGTGATGGCAAAGGAGATCCTTCAGAAATCATTCTAATATGTTGTAGGTTAACTTTTTGTTTTAATTTTTTGTTCAGTCTTGCTGACCCTCAGATCAGAATCTTGTTTCTGATTATTAATACCAAAATAATTGAAACTGCACATTTTTCATGAAATTATGTTGGTGGGAGAGCATAGAAGAATATCTATCATAAAACCTATGATGGATGTTCTTATATGTTAGCTGTAGAAGTAGGGCATCATTCTAAAACAGATATATTCCTACAGTGATTTAGTAAATGATTGAAGGAGCAGTATTACTTTGATAGGCAAAGCGCTCAAGATGATGCATTGTCCACTTATTCACATCCACAGACTTGTTTTTGCTTCTCTCAGGGCATGAACTGTAATCAGAGCGGAAAGTAAAGCGGAAGCTGATATTTTCTACTTAAGTTCACAGAAGTACACATAACTGTCCATCAAACAGTTATAATACTGGCAAAGAGCAACACAGGACAGACCATATAGAGCAGAACAAATCAGATTTCCTCACCTCATGAGCAAAGAGACATCAGTGACCTCTAGCTAACCACACCACCTGCTCAGAGGCCAAACGGCATACGCAGCGAATGACTGATGATTGTCTCCATAGATGCTGAATGTGGACTCTTTCATTGTACATAGTAGGTCTGGATGGTATATATGAAATATTCACCATTTTTGCTGGCAAGCAATATTGTGAATATCACAATGATATCACAAAGTGATTTTTATTTGTCCATTGCGTTTTAGAAGACTCGTCTTTAGACTAGTTGTGTGATCCTTCTCAAGCATTTTTCATAAATGTCAATATTTTTTATAAAAATATACATGGGTAAATTTGGTATTTATGTTTACAACAGTTTTGATATATTGGTGCATATGAATTAAAAGAATAAAGATGATTATTCCCCCTAATGAAAAAACATGCCAGGATTATTTTTTAACTAGATTTGTCCTTGTTCTTTGCTATTGTGTGTATTGGAGTACAATGTTGATGTATTTTCGTTTTATCTACAGTGCTTAACAAATTTATTAGACCACCACCACCCAATGTAAGGTTTGTGCCACAGCTACCCTAAACTAACAGTATTAGTGATTAGAAAAAATATTAAAGCACTTTATTATTATTTTTATGCCCAATTAGAGTCAATAAATACAGTCTTAATACATTTGTTAAGCACTTTATATGCTTAACAAATTTATTAGGCCACCTGTCATAATAAAGAGAAAATATTTTAGGAATATGTCAAAAACTTATTTAAAATTAACATTTTATTGTCATTTATTGGGCAAATAAAAAATCTGAAACAACTAGGCCTAAATAGTCTTTATTCACACATAATAACAAAAACATTGAATATTTTGTATGGACTCCTTTGGCCTTGATAACAGCTTACATTTTTGCTGGCATTGTTTTTATGTACTTTTCCACAGTCGCCGTTGTTATTGACTGTAATTGGGCATCAGAATAATAAAAAAAATAAAATAAAGTGCTTTACTATTTTTTCTGCCTTTCTTGTAAAACAGTAAATTCGAAATTCATGTATAACAACAACAATTATATTTTAGCATTACAAATACTACTGTGACTAAAGAGCTTACACATACTGGTGAATTAACCTAAAAAATGAATTTGGTAATCACTAGTACTGTTACAAACCTTACATTGGGTGGTGGTGGTCTAATAAATTTGTTAAGCACTGTAAATTGCCCTGCCCTTGTAAATAAAGTGTGCACTTGGCTTGAATAGTGTGTAAGACTAGTTTTGTTATGCCTCTTGTGTCAAGCGTGTAAAGTTTATGGAGCGCAACTAAAGGAATTTCCCATAAGCTTTAAGTGCTTGAAATAGGCTAGAGTCCTATATGATTCTCTCATGTTTTTAACTGACATGTAGGTGGTCTAGATTAATGATGTTATATAATGTTTTTCTCTCTCTGTAGCCATTTGAGGCTGGTGACCTGTTTCAGGGCCACAACTTCAGCAGAGTCCTCACTACACTGGTTGCCCTCAATAAAGTGACTGCAGGCAAGTGTATCTTTCTAGAATTATCCTGTTTAGATTTTCACAATATAAAAGTCATTTTTAAAAACCTGATTAGTATAAACAAAAACAAAGAAACAATATACTGTAACTTTAAAGCCCACAAAAAAAATCACAGTGTTATCAACAGTTTCAAATGTGTTCAAAGTTGCTAATGTACGGTGGCCGAGAAGTGCAAAACAAATCACAATTCTGAAAACAAAATAACAAATTACAAACGCAAATGCAAATGCAAGTCTAAAAAACAAAACAACAATTCAGAAAACACAACAACAGTTCAGAAAACATTATAACAAGTCAGAAAACACAATGACAAATTCGAAAACAAAATAACAAGTCAGAAAACACAACGACAAATCCGAAAAGAAATTAACAAGTCAGAAAATACAACGACAAATCAGACAAACCGGAAGAGGTAGGTATAGTTTGAGACAGCGCCATTGGTTTGGGATTAACTTACTCACCGCTGACTGGACGAGACATTTGTCAATCAACGTATACAGGGAAGAACCAGCCGAAGAATGACGAAGAGTCGTGGTATAAAGTTCGGAGATGGTATTAAAGTAGCTCAGTTTAAATGTATTGTATAAATTGCCCTTACTATGGAATAAAAAATATGGGGCGTCTATTTACATTTAGGTAAAAGTGGCTGTAAACCATCAGCTCCAGTGGCGCAGCTGGATAAGCGCGTGTCGTTGGCTTTTTGACACGATCGACCCGGGTTCGATCCTGCTTTTTGCCTAACTTTTTTTTTCCTCCCTTTTCAAATCTCGTATTAGCAATGGATTCTATTTACACTAAGTGAAAATAGCAGTATTTTTAGCAATATGCTATTTACACTAAGTGCAAATACCTATTTACACGTGTTTTCTGACTTGTTAATTTATTTTCGGATTTGTCTTTGTGTTTTCTGACTTGTTATTTTGTTTTCGAAGTTGTCATTGTGTTTTCTGACTTGTTATAATGTTTTCTGAACTGTTGTTGTGCTTTCTGAATTGTTATTTTGTTTTTTAGACTTGCATTTGCGTTTGTAATTTGTTATTTTGTTTTCAGAATTGTGATTTGCTTTGCACTTCTCGGCCACCGTACTAATGTGCTTATAGTTCTTATAATGTGTGACAGTGTTACAGATATTCCCATTGGTGATTTTTCTTCTCTGTGTTCTCTCTGTTGGTGTAGATATTGGGATAGGCAGCGACTCTGTATGTACCCGTCACTCTTCTGCCCACCGGATCAAGTCCTTCGAATCACTGGCCTCCCAGTCCTCACTGGGCCGATCTTCTAAATTGCTCCATAACCAGTTCCGCAGCCTTGTGAGTAACACTGGGGTGAGAAAACTCAACCAGCCTCAGCGGATCTCAATGAAAATATTCATTTACATTCTGTGTCACATCTACACTACTGTTAGAGCTGGGTATGCACTGACCGAATTGCCTCGATACCATCAAGTATCGAAAAATGTCTTGTCGCTCGGTACCAAATTTCGATACCTAAGGGCTTAATCTCATCAAAGTCAGTGAGCCAATAAGCGTGCAGCATGCTTTATGTGCCTAAATCAGTGATTGGCTCTGGCGAGGCATCAAGGAAAACGCATGTTACGTGACCATTCACGCACACTGTAGCATCATGCAACATAAGACAATTTAGAAGATTTAAACTCACTTAAAACCACCATTGAGTGTTTGTAAATAACTTACGATTATAATCTAATGTGGGTTTTGGCCATATAATGTTGCAGAAATATGTTATTTGTAACCTTTTATATCAAGCTAATCGCTACACCTGCTTAGCATTTCTCATGTAAACACCCTGTATTGTTATGAAAATAGGCAGAATCTCATGAAAATCACATGCAGATAATTTACTGTCGTAATCCTGTGTTTATTAGCTTCATGTTTCATCCCTATAAATGTTTTTCTGGAAGTGTAATGCACGTTCGTCATCGGAGACAGGGTGGCATATGAACATGTAATATGATTAACATATGAGCAGCAGATGAGCTTTTTCTGAGTTAGAACAACGATCGCAGTTGAGAAAACACAGGCAGACAGCGCTGGAAGCAGCTAATGCTCATCAGATTGCGTAAATAAGTGGAAAATGAATAGAAATGATGATGCTATGCATTTTAAAACAAAAACGCATTAGTATAAACGTAGCCTAGGGACATTAGTCCTGGGGACATCATCAGAGAAGAAAGGCTTTTCTGTCTCCTGAAAAAGCGGACATGCTAATTTTTTTTTCTTAAGAACTGCTGTGATTTAAAAGGTTCATATGATGCGATTTCAATTTTTCCTTTCTCTTTGGAGTGTTACATAAAGAAGATCTGTAAAGTTGCAAAGACTAAAGTCTCAAATCCAAAGAGATATTCTTTATAAAAGTTAAGAAATAATGTTCTTTTTAGCAACATCATATGACCCCTTTAAAGATCTTAAGTATGCAGCAGTCTCACATAATGACTTAAAATGTTCATTTTGCACTGAAAATTGTTTGACGTTTATTAAAACTATTTGCAATGATATATTGTGTTGGTTACATTTTGTTCCTTTGTGCTTTTTTGTTCCTTTGTGCAGTGGCTCAGGAGATGAGTCTGATTCTGTAAAACCTCAACAAACTGAAAAAATAGTTTTATGAGGTAATGTAATCTTGTTAAAATGGATTTCATAAAATTGGTATCGAAAAAAGTATCGTTCAGGAACCGGTATCAAAGTCAAGGTATCGGTATCGATATCGTACATTTTTGAACGATACCCAGCCCTAACTACTGTTACAAAGTTTGGGGTCAATTTTTAAAATGTTTTGAAAGAAGTCTCGTATACTCACCAGGGCTACATTTATTTGATTAAAAATACAGTAATAACAGTAATATTGTACAATATTATTACAATTTCAAATAACATTTTCTATCTGAATATATTTTAAAATTTAATTTATTTCTGTGATGCAAAGCTGAATTTTCAGCATCATTACTTCATAAGAGTCATTACTCTCTTCAGAGTCACATGATCCTTCAGAAATCATTCTAATATGCTGATTTGGTGCTCAAGAAACACTTCTTATTATTATCAATGTTGAAAACAGCTGTGCTGCTTAATATTTTTTTGGACACCGTGATACTTTTTTTTTCCAGGACTCTAGAATAGAAATGAATAGAAAATCTAAAAGAACAGCATTTATTAAAAATGGAAATCTTTTGTAACATTATGAAAGTCTTTACTGTGGCTCCTGATCAATTTAATGCATTACTGCTTACTGATTCCAAAATTCATACAATAGTATATAACATTTCTGTGTATGTGAAGAGCAGCATTTGCTGTTAGTGTTACCATAGTAATGAGAAGCTTGTGAATCCTGTCAATGGCCCTGTGAAATTAACCGACTAAAGACGTTAGGAAACTCAGCTTGACACCACAGTGCATAAATGTCATGTTTTTAACTACAATGGAAAGGCAAAGATGTCTTTCGTTGGATGTTTCTAACTTAAATTGTTGGCGTTATAAACATAAACAGTGTCCTGGAACTCTGTCTTGCGTAGACATATTAATGTAAATAGGTCAGTTTTGATTTACGGAAGTTGTTAACACACTATGAGGCTGCATGTAAACATAAGTACTCTCTCTCTCTTATAGGACATGACGGAGAACAGTAACACTCAGTTAGTGGTTAAAGCTCGCTTCAACTTCCAGCAGACCAATGAGGACGAGCTTTCTTTCAGCAAGGGTGACATCATCAGTGTTACTCGCACAGAAGAAGGGGGTTGGTGGGAGGGATCCCTCAACGGCAAGACAGGCTGGTTTCCAAGTAATTATGTCAGAGAGGTTAAAGGGTCTGGTAAGTGTCAGTTTGCTATGGACCGTTATAAATATGTGACCCTGGACCACAAAACCAGTCTTACGTGTCAATTTTTCAAAATTAAGATTTATACTGAATAGCTGAATAAATAAGCTTTCCATTGATGTATGGTTTGTTAGGATAGGACAATATTTGGTCGAGATACAACTATTTGAATATCTGGAATCTGAGAGTGCAAAAAAATCAAAATATTGAGAAAATCGCCTTTAAATTTGTCCAAATGAAGTCCTTAGCAATGCATATTACTAATCAAAAAATTAAGTTTTGATATATTTATGGTAGGAAATTTACAAAATATCTTCATGGAACATGATCTTTACTTAATATCCTAATGATTTTTGGCATAAAAGAAAAATCTATAATTTTGACCCATACAATGTATTTTTGGCTATTGCTACAAATACAACCCAGCGACTTAAGACTGGTTTTGTGGTCCAGGGTCACATATAAGGTCACATATAAACACAGTCTTTTCTTGATCCACAGTGCACCATTATTAAAACTCTCGGTGTCTTTACAGACAAACAAGTGTCTCCTAAATCTGGAACGCTTAAAAGCCCTCCCAAAGGTTTTGATACCACGGCTATCAGTAAAACCTACTACAACCTAGTAAGCACATTTCAATCAATTATCCTTTTCAGGGGTCACCTGGTTGATTTGCTTCATTTTGGAGGTTTTGTGCATGAACAGTAATCAGACTCGGTTGATTTGTGAATGAGCACAGCTGATTTGTAATCACTGTGTTAAAAATATCTTATCTAAAAATAACTGCTGTTTGTTTGTCTTCAGGTGCTACAGAACATTTTAGAAACTGAAACAGAGTATTCAAAGGAGCTCCAGAACCTTTTGACCAGCTACCTGAGACCTCTACAGATGGCAGAAAAGTAAAATGTTTTGCTTTTCCCTTGAGAAAACACAACCAATAAAATATAAGAAGCAAATACACAGTTTAGTTTTAAAATTCACATTTATTCTGTGTTCTCTGACTATAGCTGTTGGGATTAATGTGTTAATTTAGTGATTACATAAAAAAAATGTAATCAGTTTTCTTATCATTTGAGATGAAGTAATGTTTTGAGCACTGATTTACAGTTCTCACTGTTTCTCATAGACTGAGCACCTCAGACGTAAGTGTCATTCTCGGGAACCTGGAGGAAATCAGCACTTTCCAGCAGACTTTGGTCCAGTCACTGGAAGACCGTACCAAGTGAGTATTATTCTAACCGTGAGCAGCCGTGTGATTCCCGGGCCCTCTCTTAATAGCCCCTGAGTAATTTACAACAGGAGGGCCGAAGCACTTAGTGAAACTGAGACTCAATCAAATGTATCAAGTTCCGACTCCTAGATGATGAAAATAGACCTGGGCGGTAACCTGAGGTCCATTAAAAGGATTTGAGTATCACTAGAGGTTTCTAATGTTTACACTGACCTCTAGTGGTAAATCCTTTAGTAAATTGGGAAAACGCTAACTGGGTTTTCCAGCAAAACGGTTTATGAATTTACGAATTTATTAACCGTTTATTAATTAATTAATTTATATATTTATTAATTTATACATTTCAGAGAAAGTAAATTGAGCATATTGAAGTAAATTAATGTTAGTAAGTTTTTTTTGGTTGTTTTGTTAAATGAGGAATATACAAATATTTTGTCTAAGATCAAAGAATAAAAACAGACTTTCAATTCAAATAATTCTAAAAAAAAAAAAAAAGAAATGTTGTATTATTAACTTTATATTGTTATATTATTATACATTTTAGCTGGGCCGATCAGACCCTGTTGAGTCCTGTTTGCAAAACCCAAAAATGGATATCAAAAATAAAAGTGAAATTACGCTACCATTCAAACATTTAGGGTCAGTAAGATTTTTTAAATGTTTTTGAAAGAAGTCTCTGATGCTCACCAAGGCTGCATTTATTTAGAAATACAGTAAAATTGTGAAATATTGTTGCAATTTAAAATAACAGAATATATTAAAATTCATATTAAAATGCATTGATTATAAATTGCATGATGCCTTTTTTTAGGATGCTTTGATGAATAGAGAGTTCTAAATAACCGCATATATTTGAAATATAAATCTTTTATAACATTATATATATCTTTGCTGTCACTTTCGATCACATTTAATGCGTCTTTGCTGAATAAAAGCATTAATTTCTTTCTTTCAAAAAGTCCTACTGACTCCAAACTTTTGAATGGTAGTGTATCTACAAAATAATTGGAGACTGTAAATTTAAGCTGTTTGGGATGAATTAATTGCAGAAGGTGTTGTTAAAATTGGGAATATAGATTTATATCCTACTTGGGAGTATAGGTTCGGAAAAATCCTAAGCAAAATAATTGAAGAATATTAGCGCAATATTTGTGAAATAATTCTCCTCGTTGTTCTGTGATTAAGGCTTCCAGAGCTGCAGCAGAAAGTGGGAGGGTTCTTCCTGAATCTCATGCCCCAGATGAGGTCTCTTTATGTGTCTTACTGCTCCAACCACCCGTCGGCAGTCAGTATTCTCACCGATCACAGGTATGCCACCATACTGTGGCCTGATTTCACAGAGAGCCTGTCCGCTGAAAACTGGTGATAACTTCTCATTTCTGTCCCTGCAGTGAGGAACTTGGAGAGTTCATGGAGGGGAGGGGTGCGTCGATACCAGGCATTCTCACACTGACCTCTGGCCTCAGCAAACCCTTCATGAGACTGGACAAATATCCCACATTACTAAAAGAACTGGAGAGACACATGGAGGTAGAAGAGAGAGTTTGAGCTTATATGCTTTCGGTTAAGGTTTTAATGGTTTGGTGGCAGTTCAGTGTAACACTGTGCTCTTTCCCCTTCAGGAGGGTCATCCAGACAGGACAGAAATTCAGAAAAGTATGACGGCTTTCAAGAATCTCTCTGTGAGTGTTAACTGCCTAGTTAGCATGCTAAAGCAGACTGATGTCCCGTGGTTTTGCCATTGCAGTTAGGTGTGTATCATTCCCATGACAACCAGCCTTCTTAACGTATTGTGTTGCCATGGTTACAGGCACAATGTCAGGAGGTGCGGAAGCGCAAGGAGCTTGAGCTTCAGATCCTGACTGAGACGATTCGTCTGTGGGAGGGGGAGGACATTAAGACCCTGGGTTCAGTGCTGTATATGAGCCAGGCCATGGTCCAGAACCACGGCTGTGAGGTGAGATCTCAATAGCTCATACACCTGATGAACATGTTCTCCACTAATAGTGTGAATTTTGGGTGTGGCTGATTATTTATCCAATTATTTGACCAATACATTGGTCAAATACATTAATGTCAGCATGAAATGAAAATTCACCCTTTTCTAAATGCATGTTATTAATGATATTGTGAATGATTCATCCATGCATTTTTTTATAATGTTTCCTGTGTTTTTTTTAAGTGATATCCTAAAATAATTAGCTAAAATAATATTTAAAACATGTTGATGCAACCACGGCTATTAGTAGTGTTCAGGAAGCCTTTTATAATTACTGTTATTATTAATAAGGTTAGATTAAGTAGTGATGTGTTTATGCAGTGGGTTAACCCTTTTAACTGTCAAAAAAAGATATGTTTTGTGGTTCCAAATTGCATGTAATTCATCTTTTTTTTTCTGGATACAAGTTTTGTAGAAAAAAAAAAGTTCTCAGTTGTGTACACCATAGATGGCCAAAGCTCAATTACAGCACACGTGCATTAAAAACCCGTTATAAGTAAAATCATATTGACAAAAATGCCAATAGTTTTTCACTGTGATTTCAGTCCTATAGTTATAATGGCTATGTGGTATTATAATTTTTTATATTGATTTTATTGATTTTTTTTAGGATAAGCATGAACGTTACCTGCTGCTGTTTCCTCATGTCTTGCTCATTCTGTCTGCAAGTCCAAGGATGAGTGGCTTCATCTACCAGGTCAGAAACCAGCTGCTGTCAGAACTGATTACTACACAGCCAAATAAATCTCACTGTCCTTGCTCCACCATCCCCTAAAATCCACTCAAACCACAGCTTTAAAAAACATTAAAATGGCACTTTCGGCTCTAGCACAAAGAAAAAACGTCTGCTTTGTTTCTTTCTTTTAGGGCAAGCTACCTTTGAGTGGGATGACAGTGACCCCATTAGAAGACTGTGAAAGTCATAAAAATGCTTTTGAGCTCTCAGGTAAGGACAGACTGACTCACATCTTTTGTGTTCAGGACACAGTCAAGTGTTTTTGATCATTATTAGGCATTCATAGACTCTGCTTATGTGTCCATCCAATAGGAAGCATGTTTGAGAGGCTTCAGGTGATCTGCTTTAACAAACAGGATCTGCAGGACTGGCTCGAGCATCTGAACCGACAGACCAAGCACACAACCATGGCGGCTCCCAGCATGAAACCCCTCACTGTTCCCTGCCACACAGTGGGTCACCTATTTAATCACACCTTAAAGGGTTAGTTCACCCAAAAATGAAAATTAGCCCATAAATTACTCACCCTCAAATCATCCTAGGTGTATATGACTTTCTTCTTTCAGACGAATCCAGTCGGAGTTATATTAAAAATTGTCTTTGATCTTTCAAGCTGTTTAATGGCACTCAGCGGGTGTTGCATGCATCCGTCCAAAAGCAGTTAAATAAAATGCGCCCATCCATAAAAAAAAAAGTGTCTCACACAGCTCCGGGGTGTGAACAAAGGCCTTCTGTAGCGAATTGATGCTTTTTTGTAAGAAAAATTTCTATATTCAAAACGTAATAATCACTTTAATGTAGCTTGCGCTCACTGTTGTACACGGAAGCAGTTCCAGGGGAATGACGTATGAGGGCAGCTTTGCGCCGCTCAGAAGTGACGCACGCGGAAGCGCAGGGGAGAGATCAAAACAAAACAACGGTCACTAATTAGAAGTACAAAACGAGGATTTGTAAAGAAGAATGTCGGAGGATTTCGATATAAGCCAAGAGGAGACTGGTTTTCCTTTGCTAAAGTGAGGAAACTTTGCTTCCTTTGCTCCTGTTAACAAACGTTGGTTTTCACGAGACTCACTGGCGCATGCGCAACGCTGACCTCATACATCATCAGCCCAGAACTGCTTCCATGTACAACAGTGAGCGCAATCTACATTAAAGTGATTATTACATTTTGAATATGAATATTTTTCTTACAAAAATGCATCGATTCGGTACAGAAGGCCTTTGTTCACCCCCCGGAGCCGTGTGAGACACTTTTTTTTATGGATGTGCGCATTTTATTTAACTTCTTTTGGACTGATGCATGCAACACCCGCTGAGTGCCATTAAACAGCTTGAAAGATCAAAGACAATTTTTAATATAACTCCGACTGGATTCGTCTGAGAGCCGCTGTTCACTGACGAGCTGCGCAAAAATCGCACGAATATGAACGTGGTTTTGCGCAGCTCGTCAGTGAACAACGGCTCTGTGTAGTTAATGCTGCTCAATGTGAAAGCACGCACGTGATGGAGATTTACCGCTGATTACAGAACCGGCTTTACTGATAAGATGCGCGTTAAATATCGCATGCGATTTATCGTGCAGCCCTAGAAGAAAGTCATATACGCCTAGGATGAATTGAGGGTGAGTAATTTATGGGCTAATTTTCATTTTTGGGTGAACTAACCCTTTAAGGCCAAAGTATACTTGAGTTTTTACACATACACGGGGGTACACGCACCAGACTATTTTTGTACTATGTACGTGCAGGTCACAAAGATAAATCTTTCTAGAGTGCATGTGTGTGCATGTGCCTGCGTTCGCATACACCTCAAATGAACTATACTTTGAAAGACTACATGTTAGACTGTGCAAAATGCATTAAAAAAATGAAGTATACTTGGGCCTTTAGAAAACCACACATATAGTATTGAAATATTTGTAAATATAAATATTAATGTTTTAGAAATATTTAAAAGTGTACATTTTCTTTTATCTATATATCTATTTATCAAATTTTTTATAGCCACTATATACAAATATCTATCTATCTATCTATCTATCTATCTATCTTTATTTATTTATTTAACACTTTTATAGGTGGTATACACAAAGAGCTTTACAAGAAAAACGCACGCATGCACGCACGCACGCACGCACACACACACACACATTTGTAAACACAGTCATAAAGAGCTTTACAAAATATAAAGTAAAGTGTAACACAAATGAGTATGTATTTATTTATTTTTGAAATTTGTCCTGTCCATTATCTTCAACTTTAAGGTTAACCTAAATTTTACCCCTCCAGCTCCCGTCTCACCCTCTGACGCCGTCCAGACATGCAGAAAGCCGGGGCCTGACAGTTGCTCCAGCTTACCACACCTTACCACACCCCTCCTCTCATGGGGCCCCTCACAGCACCATGATGTGGGGCCCCCTGGAGCCTCCCAAAACCCAGAAGCCCTGGAGCCTGAGCTGCTTGCGTCCAGCACCCCCACTTAGGCCCTCAGCTGCTCTCTGCTATAAAGAGGTATCCTGGGCTCAGATTACAGCTAATTATGCAGCATACTGGACTTCTAGTTAAAAATATTGTGAAAATATGTTAAATGCAGTGTGATATAATACAAACATTGTAATTGTTGATTATTTCCCTTGATATTGTAGTCACTATTATTTTGATACTAATATGTGAACGCTAAAACTCTTTAACTAAATAACTTCATATACTCTCTCATGGTGCTGTAAATCTCAGTTTTACCACCTCCTGTGTCCCTTTCGTGTTATTTCCATTCCTCCTCCTCTCTCAGGACCTCAGTAAAAGTCCCAAGACTATGAAAAAGCTGCTGCCCAAGAGAAAGCCGGAGAGGAAGCCGTCTGATGAGGAGTTTGCACTGAGGAAGAGTAAGTCAGCTGGTTTATATCGTTATTGATACTGAGAGTTTCTGAAAGATCGTGCATCTGATGTAACCTCTGACCTGTGAAGGTACTGTAGCTTTGGAGGAAGATGCTCAGATCCTGAAAGTGATTGAGGCCTACTGCACGAGTGCAAAAACCAGACAGACTCTGAACTCAAGTAAGTCTCGTACGCGGCGGGCCTGTTCACCTCCGTTTCGTATCCTCTAAGACATTCCTCATTCATACCTACTTTTCTATGTGTAACATAGAAATAAACAAAAGTCTGTTGATCTTAACAAAATTATTCTGGGATCTCTTATAACAATATCCTCTCTCTTTTTTCTCGTCATACTTAATGTTCATTTATTTATCATGACCCCCTGCTCCCCATATTTTAATTTGGACATCTTTACACATTTTTATTTATTAATTTATTTGTAAAACCCATTTACTCTCTTGGGGTATAATTGGTTCTCCCATCTGTGTGTCTGGCCCCCTTGTTTTATTTTCTTTCCATCTGCAATCCTCCCTCCCTCCCTCCCATCATTCATATGATTTGATCCCCCTCTCATCATCTGCGACTGGACGACCTCTTCAGCATGGCAAGGCACTGATCTCATGCATAACCACATTTTGGATCAATCCAGTGTGGACTCTCTGGGCCGCCGTAGCAGTATCTCGAGGCCCGAGGCCACCTCGGACCTCTCAGAGGACTCTGACTATGACAGTATATGGACGGCCCACAGTTACAGGATGGGCTCTGTTTCCCGTAAGAGCTCCTACATCTCCCACCAAAATTAAACTCCCCCTCACTCCTCTTATTTCAAGTGACTTTATATTTATTTGAAACTATTTATTTATTTAATGATCTGTCACTGTAATGCATATTTATTTTTATTTATTTATTTATTTCTCAGTGTTGTATTAATCACACCACATCATCATTTTCTGCATATATATGCACTTTCCCAAAGCAGTTCCCTGTTGCCTTGACATCTTAACTCCCCCTGAAACCACCAACCTCACTTACTTAACTCAGTTTATTTTTTTTTACTTTGTTTGCCTCCCATTTGATATTTATGTAAGTGTCCTTTAAAAAATGATGTTTTCATTCCCAGAAGTATTTAATTGTTAACGCTGTTGAAGGTACAATGCACTCTGAAGGCAACAAGGACAGGTTCTGCTATAAAAGAAAAAAAGATGCTAAAATCTCTTAATGTGTCTGTAAATATTAGAGTATTGTCATTCATCTGAAATGTGTGGTATTAACTTGGACTTTTACTGAATGTGAACATTAGAACATGCCGCTCTGTTGAAATGAGGAGTTGGGTCTTTTACCAGAGAGCTTTATGAATGAGAGAAATTCATAACTATGGTTCTCAAATGGCACCATGGAGAGTATTACTGGGGATGTTTTGTTCATACTTATGTGATATAAATGTATTTATTTTCAATTTGTAAATGTATTTTGAATGATTTTGGACTTTTTGTATGCTTATATCTAACATGTAAGTTTATAGTGGTGTCTATGGTGAAAAGTATGGAAGTTTACAATACAAATGTTGAATTTAATGTTGGTTTAAATTCTGTTAGAATCCATTCAAATCAGGTGTGTGGATGGTAATAGTCGAGTTCTTCACCATTCATTCGAGAGACTGTCAAAGCCTCAGTGTTTGATGCTTTTCCTCATTTATGTATGATGTGTTTATGAGACAAACAAGAAAATCGACTTGCCAGTTATTTCAATAGATTCAATAGATAATGACAAAGAGTATAATTCCTCATGTTATGTGATTTCTTGTGACCAAGTTCTATTCTGTGGTTTAAAAAATGAACAAGAAGAAAATATGAATATTTACTACCTTTTTGTCGGTCGTTTCATTCAGATATTCTTAAAACCGTTCAACAGAGATACTTCAGTGATGTTTACGTGGTTTGAAATTAAGACATGATTAATGTGTGTTATATATATGCAGAGTCAAATACATGACAAGATGCCACAAACATTGTAATATACATTTTGAATAAATCTTGGGTTGTTTTGTACAGTATGTTTATCCTTTAAAAATTACAACAAAACAAAAAGGTTTTATTTATTTATTTATTTATTTTGTATAAATGTATTGCTTATTTTCACTTGATGGGTTTTGTTTTGGGGGTTGATGAAATTTTAGTTTTCAGGAAACCCTTGGTCCTCTGGTTTTTGAATGCTTTTAGTTTTTTTGGATGATCCCTCTCTGCATGACTAACTCTTGTCTCACGCACAGTCCTGTGTAAGTTTGATCCAGTCCAAACCATTTTTTTGAGGCACAGTGGTCCTGCACTTACCTAATCAGTGAGTCCAACTTGACTAATCTTCCTGAAATCACTCTGCGGGGCTTCTCTTTTGAAACAGGACAGTGGAAAGATGCCAGTCCAGCACTGATAGTTCCTGGGGAGGAGAAGTTCAGTGTAGATGAGTTGAAGAGTAATGGTCAGACTCTTCTGGAGGAGAAGTAAGACTGCATATTTGTCCATTCCCAAAACAGGGTTTATAATGGGAATAAATAAAGAGGGATGTTTGTCAAGAGAACACAAATTGAATAGAGCAGCAAGATTAAAAAAAAGTATTTACTGACATATTCGATATTCAATGTTTCCTAGGAGCCTTGTGGATGTTGTTTATGCTCTGAGAGATGAGGTACAAGAACTTAAACAGGTGAGTGTTTGTGAGGGTCTGAGGAAGTTTTTCTTAATATTTAAATTCATAGAAAACAATAATATTTAATATTTTCTATTTCCTGCTTACATGATTTTACCATTCTAACAGGACTATAAAAAAATGAAGAAATCCCTGGAGGAAGAACAGAGAGCCCGGAAAGATCTGGAGAGGATAGTTAGAAAAATGTTAAAGAATATAAACGATCCTTCTTGGGATGAGACCAATTTATGATATCAATGTTGCCCCCGTACTAGTTTTTGTTCTTTTACATTAGTGTTTAAGATGACCGGGAAGTTCAACCAGAACATTCAAATTATCATGTGTTTTCTTACATTGAAACCACCTTTGATGTTCGTGGGTACGAGTCTGTAGTAAATTCATCTTACATATTTGATCTTATATGGCTCATTGCAATGTTCAAACTCTAAAAAATGGTCTTTTAGTGCATCTACACCAAGCAGATTAAAAAAAAAAAAATGTAGTTTGTGAAATTCTGAAGAAATGTAAAACCACTTGTTTATATCTGAACAATCATGATGTGACTTGCTTGCTTGAAGTGGTAGCTAAATCTTGTCGGATGGCATGAGTGTAACCTGTGAATATCCATGACGAGTTTGTCTTTCACCTGATGTTAAGGTGTTGAGATAGACAGTACCTCAGTCTTTACATCCCATTAATGTTTGAGATTGTGAGTGTCCTGTTTTTCTACATATTACCTTTGTCATTACAAAGGTTCAAGAGATCATCATATTTTACTGTTAAGTTCCATTTTTAAATAACTTTTATTCAGATGCTCTCTGATTTAAGATGTTGAATCTGTGAATATTTCCATGGTGTGGTACAGAGAACTTTTTCATTCCATTTAGTTGTTTATTGTTGATACTTAATCTTTAATTCAACAGAGTGAGTGTGCACAAGCATAGCAGATGTCACGCTATATGTTCACTGTGGGACATGATGCTTATGCTTATATGTCAGTATGTTTAGAACCTGTTTTAGGTGCAATTGCAATTCAAGCTGTGACAGGAGTTCAATATTATGATACTCATTATACCTGAATTATTTTTTTAGTCATGTGAGTTATATCTGTATACATTTCAGTGTGACTCATTTAGTGTGACCAAAGCAAAAGCCAAACTCTTATTTATGGACTTGACTGTCTGTGACTTATTACTGTACTTGACATTTATTCCTATAGCGCTTACACAACACTAATAGAATAGCCTCATCAGAATTCATGTTGGATATTTATTAATTAGTATTATTTACCTCAGTTCCATGTTACTGTAAATTAATTCTGTAAATAAAGACAGTTGTTTATTTGCTTCTCTACTTCAATGTCATCAATTGGGCTTAAAAAGAAAATTACTGTAAAATACTTCATAATACACTTTTTTAGATTTTTGTGAATGTTTCTGAAAAGTCTCTTATGCTCACCAAGGCTGCATTTATTTGCTTGTTTTAATCAGAAAAAAAAATTTAATTATAATATTGTGAAATATTATTACATTTTAAAAGAACTCTTCAATTTGAATGTATTTAAAATTTTTAATAGGATTTATTCCTGTGATGGCAAAGCTGAATTTTCAGCAGCCATTACTCCAGTCTTCACATGATCCTTCAGAACTGATTCTAATATGCTGATTTGCTGCGCAAGAAACATTTCTTATTACTGTCAATGTTAAAAACTGTTGCTGCCTAATATTTCAGCTTTCTGTGATGAATAGAAAGTTCAAAAAGAGTCTTTACTGTTAATTTTGTGATCGATTTAATGCATCCTTGCATTTTATTTATTTATAGTCGACTATAATTATAATTGTAGGCAGATTTCCCACTGTGAACACCTTGAACCCGCAACTCTGACCTCTGATGTTTACCACATGAGCAATGTGAGAACGCATCTTGCAGATGTATTAACTGCGTGTGAATGAACAGACATGTGTGGTGCACAACACAGGAGTTTAAAGGGGTCATATGATGTTTCTAAAAAGAACATTATTTTGTGTATTTGGTGTAATGAAATGTTTATGCGGTTTAAGGTAAAAAAAAAACATTATTTTCCACATACTGTATATTATTGTTTCTCCTCTATGCCCCGCCTTTCTGAAACGCGTCGATTTTTACAAAGCTCATCGGTCTGAAAAGCGAGGTGTGCTGTGATTGGCCAGCTATCCAGTGCGTTGTGATTGGCCGAATACCTCAAGCGTGTGACAGAAATGTTACGCCCCTTACCATACTGTGATGCCGTGTCCGGCCGGAGCGACGAGACAAAAACATTAAAACCCATTATAAACGAGGCATTTGTTGCATCCAGTGGGGACATAATTATGGATTATAATGACTTGTACTGTCTTTTTATGCGTTGCGTTGCATCGCGCCACGTAAACATAAAACCATGTCTGCATTTGTGATCAGAGAAATGACAAACAACAAGCCCTACTCTACACTGCAGTGTTGTAAATACAACTTAACCACTGATTTCTAGTCGCGTCCTCTTTTGGAAGGCCAAACAGTATATTTGCTTTTGCGACGAAACACACAGCGTCTTCACAACATGGTGGCAGCAACAATAAGTTATGCCTTCTTTCTTTGCGTGAACATTTGGGTGGTGTTATGCAAATCTTCCCACATCGTGATGTAGACATGTGGGGGCGTGTTTGAAAGAGGCGTTTTAGGAGGGCGTGGACCAGTCTTAACTTTTATAAAGAATATCTCTTTGGGTTTGAGACTTTAGTCTTTGCAACTTTAGGGATCTTATCTATTCACGAACAGCTTGTAACACTCCAAAGAGAAAGGAAAACTTGAAATCGCATCATATGACCCCTTTAAGCTTTAAGTTTCTGTACTCTGTCAAGGGGAACGGCACGATGATAAGGGTGACTTTATGCCCTTGTCTTTCGTCTGCACACAACAGTTCTGGGTGAAGGTTGTGCATGCTCCAGGCTCTATTACAGTGACAAGGCAATCTAGTCCCTTTGTGGGCGATGATTCTACTTCATTGATTTACAATGGAAAGGATATAATTTTGCTGGTGTTGGCAGAAAGCTCAAATGTCAGGCTTTTCAGAATGCCAGCATTGCCTTGTTCGCAGATGAATAAGGAGAAAGTCACCTTTTGTCTCCTGTTAAATATTCCTGCATAAATACAAAGGAGCATAATGCCCTCCTGATAAAAGGAAGCCCTGATTTATCCTTTGGTGTATAGATAAAACCTGCAGATAAATGCCAGGATGGCCTTTTCACTTTTGTTCTCTGCGGTTCGCTTCCCTTTTTACAGCATATCGAGTTTGGAAGACGGGTGTCGCTTTCAGCGATGATTTGGTTTTGTGGAAAGGACACAATTAGTGCTACCTTGCCATCATCAGTATAATATATCACAATTTCTCACCGAAGATGCTTCAGACCTTCATTATTGACATTCATGTTGGATTGAAGCCTAAGTTTAGGACATAATGGTTGTGCAGTTAACCATCTGTTACTGTTAAAAAGTTTGACTCCCAGGTATTAACAGCCTCTTCATGGTAATGGTTAAAGCACACTACCTGTCGTTGAAATGCAAAAGGGATGGCAGAACTCTGTGGACATGGAATCAATTAGCTTTTGACCAGTCTATACACACATACACACGCACACACAGTCGCTTGTCTAAGACGCTGTCTTTCCCTTTCTTTTTCTCCTTTGGTCTATTCAGTAACCTGTGATCATTTAGATTTGACATGCATTGTGGCTGAGCTGGTCTCTCTCATTTGCTCTCTCTCTCTCTCTCTCTCTCTCTCCCTCTTTTGCTACTGTCTGTCATTAATTTCCAGGCTTTACAATTTGCCAAAAAAGAAAGAGAAAAGAGTGAGTGAGTGGTGGAAGGATAAGAGCTCAGTGTCCTTTTGAAGGGGTTTGTTATTGCACAAAAACAGCCGCCCAATAATTTTTCGTCAATGTTTAACTCTAAAAGCTTTTCCCCGTCAGCTTTTGAAAAGAAGAGCAATAAAGCCCTATTCATACGGACTGAATAAAAACAGTCCTCTGGGGGCTATGACCAAAGGGCTTCTTTTCTTCTGCCTCTAATCAAATAGGAACTGAAATGAATTAGAGTTTTCTTATGAAAATAGCCTTTGTTGTCAGGCAGGCCAGTAATTCATAAACAATAAGCAACGTCATTGTGTGGCTAGTAATATATTCATGCTGTGGAAAGGCTAGAAGGCAGTGCAGGACTATGGCTCTGTGAATGAGGGGAGGGAAGGATTGGTCCTGACTCTTCATTTGCAGTCTGCACAGTGGGTGGTTCTGGTAACCACCAGTTTCTCTCCGTCTCTCTCCATTTCTCTCATGCTCCTGACATCTCCTCATTTTCCTCATGCTCCTCATTTCTTCAATGATTCTTTTGTTTCCAGCTTTCTTCTTCCTGCAATTGCTGGCTCTTTTCGACCTTTCTCAAAGGCCTCTTGCTCTTCCCCTGTGTTTCGACCTGTCAGGTTTTTCGTTTGCTCTCACATTCTCCTCCCCTCTTCTCTTCTTTCCTCTGAGCGAAGCTATATATTCTTGAGAACTTCTGGACGGTGTTGGATTCTGCTCCCAAACTCTTCTCTCTTGGGAGAAAAAGTGGATTATCCGAAGTAGGAGGGCATGTGCATGAAGAGTTGTGGTCAGAGGTCAACTGGATGCCAGCGAGTTGGATCTTGAACCTCAGTGCCAGATTGAGAACCATGACCAGGACAGGACTGTCGTTGACCAGAAAAGAAAGTGTCTACTTGATTATTAAGGATGTACTTTCGGTGGACCTGGACATCTGTTGTGTTGCTTGGACATTGCTTTTTTCAACATGAATTTGCTGTCATCACTTGCTCTTCTAGTCTACTTAGTTATTAGCCGTGGAGATAAATGTTTATGGCAGATTGTCAAGCCTGTTTCCATCTTATGTTACTTGGATTCTTAAAAAAAAAAAAAAAGTACTCAGTAGGATATCCTTGTGGTACAAACATTTATCAAGTTTTCAGCTGTCAACTGCTCAAAATTGAGCTACTGCAACTGGTGCTATGAAGACTTAGAATGTCATATTCCAGAGAAAACGGGATTTTCTGGTTTTCTATATAAGGAACCTCTGATGCTGCGGCTTGATGACACTCAAATAAATCACCAGCTATCAACAGTACGTGAGTCTTTCAGCCTGTTGTGGTAATATTGAGAGTTTTGTCGCTTGTGCATAGGCCTACTTAAAGAGCTAATTACCTGAGTTTTCAAATAAGTTTGACAACTTCATAAGCGATTAAGAGGCTGTAAAGTTTCTTTACTTCTAATCAAAGGTACCTCTTTACGCCATTTAATGAAATAAGCGCCAGCTAATTTATTTAGCTATTTATTTATTTATTTTTGACAACAGCTCTCAAGCTAAGGATCATTTCTCCGCCCACTCGTCTAGTTTTCATGTAGTCTATTTTACAACTTTGCACACTTTTAAATATAAACTAATTTAACAGCTTAAAAACTAAAGATGATCATTTCAAAATTCAAGTTAATATATGACTTCAAGTAACCTTTAAGGAGTTAACGACGGATACGACCGAAACGTCTCGAACGTAATTTTCCGGTCATAGTTTAACATGTAGGCTACGTCAGACGACCACACGTTTTATTATCTCCTGAACCTCTCACTTCATAATATTCTAGCATAGCATGTCAGCTGCTGTGATCCAACTGTCCATCAGTTGTTTTCTCGTTAAATCCATAAATTGGAAGTAATGTACACGATCAAATGCGCAGTGTATAGTCAGATTCACAGAGTCAGTACTGCAGCTCAACAGCAGGTGGCAGCGTTGCTCCATGAGACATGCAAGGATGGAAAGAGCAGGTAACATTCAACTTGAGGCGTTTTATGCAGGCGAAGGTGTAAAGATGCAGTATCATATTTTGAAAACATTAATTTGTGCAGTTTTTGTGTAAATGCATGTTCGGCCTCTGTAGTCTATTAAACTAACATAGTAGCCTAAAGCATGTTTTTAGACTGTTTACTTGAATTTGGAAACCGTTTTTTAATATGACATTTGAACTTGAACTTGAACTTTTGCCATAAAAAAAATAATTTACTACTAGAATTGGCGCCGCTAAATGGCGCCTTTTAAAGAAATGTAGAATTTAAAAAAAAAATAGACATGTATAGTTATTTGCCGTTTATTAGCTAAGTATATATTGTCAAATTGTTGTTAAGCTGTGTTACTGTTAAAGGGACAGTTCACACAAAAATGAACATT